TGGCAAGAGCTATACACCAGATCCTTCAAATCAGTATAAGATGTTTAGGTTTAACTGCCAGCACAGGAACAGGCTAAGTACCCTGTCCACAGCATAGACCAGGTGTTCTGGGAGGGGTACTGAACTAGAGCCTTCCTTCCCTCCTTACCTGAAAGGCTGAGTCTGGGGAGGCCTTTGGGGGAAATGTCTTCTAGGGGAGTGTAACGGTTTGAATTTAGATAGTACCCCTCAAAGGTCTCTTAAACGGTGGCAGTATGGAGGTGCTATAAACCTTTAGGAGTTAGGGCCTAGTGGGAGGCCTTGGGTTATTGGTGGTGTGCTCTCAAAAAGGATTGTGGGACACTACTGTATTCTGCTTCCTAGCTCAACCCAGAACACTCATGCCCTCATATACTCCCACCATGATGTGCCACCCTTAGCCAAAACGACAAACCTTCTACTTAAACCTACAGGATCATGAGCCAAAATAAAACTCTTTGGCTGAACATGTGACTCACTGGTAGAACTCTTGCCTAGTGTGTGCAAGGCTCTGGGTTTGACCCCCTAGCACCACAAAAACAAAACAAAAAATATGATAAATAACATATTACATAATAATATATAATAAAATATAAAAAATAAAACTTTGTTTACTTCATAAGTAACCTATTTTGTTATAATGCTGCAAAGCTGATAGAGACCCTCCCCAAATCTACCATACATCTCTGTTTCCTGAGCTCAGGCCTGACTGGTTTCTGCAGGAAGCACATTCCTGGGTCTGTCTACTTCTAGTCCAGCCCATATCCTTGTCTCAAAATTATGTGCCATGTCCAGAGTCCCTGCACATGCTAGAGTGGAGTAACAAGGAAATTATCCAGCACGTGGTAACCTTGAGAAAAGTCACAGATGGGACAGACTCTTGGGTAGCTCAGAGTTGTGAAGGAAAGGAGGGTTCTGCCATACCCTGTCTTGGACATTTCAGTGGAGGTCTACTAACCAATTACCTCTTTTTCCACTTCATTTTCAGATGGCTGCTCTTCCCTAAGTGCTCCTATTAAGGAACCACCATATCTTCTCTGGTGGAGAAAACACCTAGGGCAAAGCTTGGAGACATACACCTGAGAGAATGGGGAAAATGGGTGGCCTCTCAGGACCTCAGGTAGTCAAGTTCACAGAACCACTGTGAGGAAAAAGCAAGATGCTAGCAGGACAGATATTTTAACTTTTCACTGAATTACAACCAGCACACTGGCAAGTACAAGAGCCAAGCGTGCAGCTCCATTAATCAGCACAAAGTGCAAAGGGCAGGGGATGGTGGAGTGTCAGGTGGGTAGGCAAAGTAAAAGGACACAGGCCCCTTTAGGTGGACCTAGAATGTTAACAGTCCTCGCACACAGTTCCTATAGCCTGCTCTCTCTTTGGCTGCAACTTGCTAGATCAATCCATATCTCAAACATTCCTCAATGGTCCGGGAAACCTGGGCTGGACCCTGACAACTCAGGCAGCATTTGTGTTCAGATAGGTTGCACTCTTGTATGGAGTATACTAAGCAGGCCCAACAAGTAACCCTCATTGAAAGGAATGTCCCACTTATCTTGGAAACTATACATTATCTATCTCTAAGATAGGACCCAAATTTCATGATTGCAGTAATCTCTTCCTCAATTACTGTTACACATTTAGCCTATTTAAATAACCCCAGTGATAAGGAGCTCACCACCAGAGCAGCCACTCTGCTGTTGAATACACTGATAGTCTTAAATCAACCATAGTGCTGTAACTTTCTCCACCTGCCAGCTCAACTTCCCACCAAAAAGAGACACAGCTCCTCCCCTGATGGCAAGCATCTACCCTTCAACCCGCAGTACCAGCCCAGCCTCAATGGCATTTCTTTCTCCTACAAAGAAACTGCAGAATCAAGCAAAGTGGCATACACCTGTAATCCCAGCAACTGGGGAGGCTAAAGCAAGAGGATTCAAAGTTCAAGGCCAGTCTCAGCAACTTAGCAAGACCTCATCTCAAAATAAAAAATACACCAGGCATGGTGGCACATGCCTATAATTCTAGTGACTTGAGGCTGAGGCAGGAGAATTCCAAGTTGGAGACCAGCTTCGGCAACTTGATGAGGCCCTAAGCAACACAGCCAGACCCTGTCTCAAAATAAAAAATAAAAAGGGGATGTGGCTCAGTGGTTAGGTGTCCCTGGGTTCAATCCTCAGTACCAAAATAAATAAATATAAAAAGGGTTAGAGATGTAGCTCAGTGGTAAAGTGCCCAGAGTTCAATCCCTGGTACCAAATAAAGAATACCCAATATTTGTTAATTCTCTTTGTATCCAGAATATTCAAGAAGTCATTGCCTCCTACAGGGCAGATGATAATAGGAGAGACATGTGGAAACAGCCAATCTCTGAGGTGCTCAGAGCACCTGCAACCTTATCCGATCATTTGCCTGTTGCCTACATAATCTTGAGAAAGTCCACTAAGATAGACAACACCCTGAAGGAACCCTTAACTCAGACCCCCTAATTCAGGAAACTTTGCAGCTGTCACTCCTAGCTCCTTTTCAACACTAGGATATGGTGAGGAGAGCCAGCCTGAGGAACTCACTCCTTTGTACAGTTGCCAGATTTAGGGTTTGCTTTCTTGCAGCCCCCAGTCCTACCCCCTCCTCTTAGCACACGTTCTTGTCAATCAACAGAAGAAACTTGTGATTCAGCAGGGCAAGAAAAGAGTAGAGACTAAAGCAGAGGGATGAACCTCACCCCAACCCCAGGACTTGGTCAGGGCAAGCAGAACTTGAGTGTGAAAAAGGCAAATGCTACGTTGCCAACAGCATCAAGGAAGCACACAGAAGCAGCTAGGTACAGGAGGGACAGTAGGATGGGCTAAGGACAGCAAAGCAGCCAGCTCCAAGAGGCTGCTTGAGGATTTGCATGTGCTCTACATACTGGTCTTGAGCCAGGTAAGTAGTCAGCACTAAGGAGGCCCAAGGTCATAGAAAGGGACCCCTCTTCCACCGGGCATCCTCTTCCTTCAAACATCTAACAGAGCTGGGGCATTGCTCTCCTGCATGGCCAAAGACAATACCAAATCATGGCACAAGAGTCCTTATGCTATACCAAAAATGTATAAAGATAGCTCTCAAGAATTCACAAAATACAATGTGCAAGCATGAATTGGAAGAAGCAGAAGAGAAACAGGAGGGACAGAAAATGGAAACATTAGTAAGCCTAGTGGAAAAATAAATGACACTATATATTTAAGTCCCTCACTTGTATGTAATTTGACCATTTGCCCAATGCCCAACTTTCTTAAAAATAAGAACAAAAATTTCAAGGGGAAGAAGGGAAGAGGAGGAGGCATGGGGGTAGGAAAAATGTGGAATGAGATAACATCATTAACCTAGGTACATGTATCATTGCACATGTAGTGCCACTCTACATTGTGTACAACCAGAAAAATGAAAAGTTGTGCTCCATTTGTATTGAATGAATCAAAATGCATTCTGCTGTCACGTATAACTAATTAGAACAAATTTAAAAAAAAAAAAAAAGATTTCCTGAGATGGCCAGGTGTGATGGCACGCTCCTGTAAATCCAACTGCTTGGGAGGCAGAGGCAGGAGGACTGCAAGTTTGAGGCCAGCTTAGGCAATTTAGCAAGACCCTATCTCAAAATAAAATTAAAAAGGTTAGGGAAGTAGCTCAGTAGTACAGCATTTAGCCAACGTGCATGGAGCCATGGGTTCAATGTCCAGTATGGAAAAAAAAAAAAAAAAAGAATTGTTTTTAAAGAGGACATGTAACACTCCTTGACAACATTCTCAGGAGACACAACACATTTCCCCTGAAGCTTATCCCTAACAGAGACCCTAAAGTAGGCTTGGTAGGACACCAGGAACAAGAATTCCAGCCCCTCTCCCAAAGAAACACACCAAAGAGGGTCAAGTGCACACTCAGGGACAATCTGAATTGCCACTTAAACCAATTCATATGTTGTGTGTAGGAGAAAAAAACCGACACAAGCCATTTGAGGGACAGTATTTACTAAAATGGAGTAATAATAGCCATAAGTTAGAAACAATTCAAATGCCCATCACTAGGTGAATGGATAAGCAAACTGTGGACCAAATGGACTAGTACTTGGCAATAAGAATGAACAACAACAAAGAAAACGATGCTGGGCCCAAAGTGCATGCCTGGAATCCCAACAATTCTAGAGGCTGAGGCAGGAGGACAGGAAGTTCAAGGACAGACTCAAAAACTTAGCAAGACCCTGTCTCAAAACAAAGTAAAAGAGGTTGTTCAGTGGCAGAGCACTTGCCTAGCATGTGTGAGGCCCTGGGTTCAATCCCCAGTACCAAAAAAAAAAAAAATGTTGCCAGACGCAGTGGCACACACATGTAATCCCTGCAACTCAGGACTGTCTCAAAATAAAAAATAGAAAGTGCTAGGGATGTGGTTCAGTAGGTAAGGGAAGGGGGGAATGTGCCAGAAACAGCTCCGTGCTAGAGCACCCCTGGGTTCAATAGTACTGCACAAAAAACTGCTGATTATACACAAAAACACAAATGAATCTCAGAGACATTATGTTGGGTAAAAGAAAACAAACAAAAAGCATGGTTTATATAAAGTTTTAAAAGAGACAAAATTAATACATGTTGACAGAAATTATAATCATCTTGACATCCCACTATACCTACCAGAATGCCTGAAGTCACTGTCGTGATCTGACAACGCTAAGTGCCGGTGAGGATACCAACCCACTAGAACCCTCCTACCTTGCAGGTGTATGCAGAAAACCGGCGGACCGCGCTAAAGCCAGTCACGTGGCTTCTGTAAGGACGGCACGAATGTCCGCCCCGGAGGGAGCCGGGTGAAGTTGCGCAGGACCCCCCCCCCCCGTACGTGGTTAATCACTTCAAAGTACGAAATGTTTAAAAGAAAAGGCATTTGCGAGACAGTGGCAGGAAGAAGGCAAGAGAGGGCTTCTAGGGCTTTGACGCTACTGTCGTGTGTGTCCGGTTTGTGAAAATTCGTAAGCGTCCAACTCTGAACACCGTACACAGTTCACCCACAGGGACGCTTTTAAACAGGTGCTGGGGCTCGGGGGTAGGGCGTCCTGAGCATGCGCCAGGCGCTGGGTCCAATCCCCAGCACACCAAAAAAAAAAATTGGGTGCTGCTCAAAGTTGCACTGTTCACGTCACTCCCACCCCAGCTCCCCTGCCCGAAGGCCTAAAACCCGCGCTTCCCGGCGCAACACGGTGGCCCGCGTCCTCTCCGCGTCGGCCGCCGCCACGCCCGCACTCCAGGAAAGGGAAGGCGCCCCGACGGCTACGTTCGGACTCTCGCCACCCGTCCAGGTAACCGCGCCGGATACTTCGGACGAACTAGGTGCCTTATGAAAACCGTGTCACCTGTTTCTTGACTGTTTTACGGTGACTTCCGGAAAACTCTGTCACACGTGAGAAAGCGTGCCCGCTGCCCGGAAACACCCTTGGGCGCAAGAAGCTGGGATACAGCGCGCTTGGTGCTCCCGGGCGTCCACGGGCCGGACTTGCGTGAGAGCACCGGCGCCGGGCGCGGGGGCGGGGCCAAAAGAGCGTGCTGGCAGGAACGCGCTCAGGAAACCCCGCTCCGGCGTCAAAGGCGTGCGCGTTGGCGGGGTCGGGGAGGAGCTATTCCGGGAAAGGGCGGGGCCTCAACCGCGCCCTCGACTTCCGTTGCCTGCTGGGACGCGCGGCGACTGGTCCCGGGGAGGAATTTCATTGACCCCGCCCCAAGCCCCGCCTCCTGCCTATGGAGCGGCCCACAGGGACCGGAAGGAGGCGGAGCCTCCGTCCTGGCCCGGTCCGGGCATCCTGGGCCCACAGCGCCCTCTGTTGGTCCTCTCAGGAGCTGCGTGGACCCATTGGGCCTGCTGCCTCACACCTGGCTGGAAAAGGTCTCTCCACCAGCCTTAGGAAGGGGCTTGCCCGCCCAGGTCCCAGCTAAGCCCCATCCCTCAGGGGCGCTCCTACTTCATATAAACTAGGCTGAATACAGTCAAAAAGAGTGCAGGAAGCCAGGCTCAAAAGCCTACATACTGTATATTTCTCTTTATATGTCATTTTTGGAAAAGACAAAACTGTACCAGTAGAGAATAGATCAGAGGGGGTGCCCCGCTGTGTTGGTCAGAGGGGCCTGGGGGAACCCTGGGGATGAGCGACCAATCCACATCTTGATGACGGTCACCCAACTGAACGCCACTTGTCAGAACTCGCAAAACCAAAACCTAAAATGTTAATTTTACCGGATGTAATTATACTTTTATTTTTTTTTTAACTAAAACGAAGCTGGGAGCAGTAGCGCACGCCTATAATCCCAGCTCTCTGGGAGGTTGAGGCAGGACAGCAAGTGGGAGGCTAACCTGAGCAATTTAGGAGACCCTGTCTCAAAACACAAATAAACAAGGTTACAGATGTATCTTATGGTAATGCCCCTGCGTTTAAGCCTCAGCACCACAAAACTAAAAATCTTGAGACTGGTGCTGCAGGGGCCGGGAGGAGAGGGAATGGGAAGTGACCGCTTAACAGATAATGGATTACTTCTGGAGTTTTGGAGTTTGGGAACTTGGTAAGTTGTGTAACGTTGTCAATATATAAAGCCCTTGGGATATCATTACCTCTAATTTCAAAAAGGAAACAGACTTAGAGGAGGTGGCTTGTCTGAGGCAGAACGCTAGTACTGGCAGACCAAGGCTAGGATCTGGGCACACACCACACCATAAGAGCATGTTCCATTCCCTTCTACAGATGAAGAGACTGCGGTTCAATGGAATTACACAAGCCTAGGAAGTAGGACCCCTGAACACCCGTGTTCTTCTCCAGAAGTTAGGAAACTGTGGCTCATTTGCTCTTTCCCCTTACCCGCAACACCCCCCTCCATCTTTACAGAATACCCAGGGAATATGGGGATCCCAATTTCTCATCACAACCCACACGCAATGTGGGTATTATGTTCCACAGTCCCCTCTGGAGTTGGGGGTCCTACTACTGGTCAGGTAGCCTTGTCTAGGTCCTCAAGACAGTGCACCCCAAGAGACACAGAATCTAAAAAACAAAGTACAAACTTTATTTGTTTCTTTACAAAGGCACAGTGGCCTCTTGGTTTTTCCCCCACTTTTTAACAAAATATAATAGCTTCTCCTTGGACACAAAAACCTCAAAATTGTTTAAAAAAAAAACAAAAACAAAAACAAAACCTAAACCAAAATAAAACCAACAACAAACAAAACAAAGAGAGAGAGACAAAGACATTCTGGGGTTGAGGATGGGACCTGGAGGGAGAGGTGGGCTGGGGGATGGAGAGTCCTGGTGCTGAGATGGGGAGGGGGAAGGGAGAAGGGCAGCAGCAAACCCCAACCAAGAAGCAACACAGACCCCCGGGCCCCCAGAAAGCCCGACCCAGTCTGACCCCCAACCCATGTAAGTGCTTAAGGAAGAAATATGAAAACCAAACAGAGGGAAGGATTGAGACTGACAGGCTCTGGGGAGGGAGGAAATACCTTGGGGTTTCGTTTGATTTTCCCTGTTCTTAAAAACACGTTCAAATGAAAAAATGTTTTTTGGCGGAGAGAGGCCAGGCACCTCAGTGTCAGCGTCCCCCAGCCCCCAGGGCCGAGGCCCAACCCTGGGGTCCCAATGCTCCCACACGCTCTGCACCACCCCAGCCCCGGGACCTTGGCTTGGGTGGCGTCATTCAAAGGTTGATTTACAGTATTGAAAAAAGAGGTCATAAAAGAGACCCAAATGACATCATAATTTTGTAAAAATTTCTCACTCATTCACCCACATTTCTCCCTGTTGCTGCCCCGGCCCCCTCCAGCCCCCACAAGGGAGAGGAGGGCTGGGGGTGGTCAGGGAAGCTCCCCATCCCCTAACGGCTCCTCCCGGCTCTGGTCCATGGCATCACTGTCTGAGGCCTCCGAATCGGAGGCTGTGTCGGAGGTATGGGCCTCCGGGCAGCTGCGGACTGGCTTCACAATGACCGCTCGCCGCTGCTCCTCCTCCAGCTCCTGCTTCTCCTGGGTGCCCTCGATGTGCTGGATTGCCTGTGCAGAAACAGGCCACTGAAGAAGCTCTGCTGGAGATGCCAGCCAGCCAGGAGACAAGGGCGACCTCAGCCGGCCGTGACCTCCCCCAAAACACATACCCCAGAACTGTGCGGAAATAAACCTGGCAGAGGGGAGTGCTGCCAGAGTCCAGGAGGAACAAAGTTTAGAAACCCCCACCTCCGTTAAGTTGAAGAACCCCTTCCCAGAACCCATAGTCCCAGTGCTGCCCAGAAATGAGCATCTCTCACATATTTATGCATTCTAAAGTCTGCCTGCTAGCTCATTAAAGGCCTTTGTTACTATTGCATTATTCAGTGTGCTGGGTTTATGGGCAACTAAAGGTCTGGGGGGACAGAAGGGTTTTTTCCTGTTTGGGCTTTTTTAGATTATTTCATTATTAATTAACTAATTTCCTTATGCTGTCCACAGACTTATAAAAGGTGTGAGGACAACCCACCCAGCCATTGCCACCTCCACCTCTATCCCAAGTTCTGGGAAATGGAGGTGAGACAAAGTTCTGGATCAACTCAAAAACTGCAGGAGCTTGGTAACCAGGAGGCTCTGAGCTTAAAGGAGCCTCTCAGCAAAACCACGACAAGGAAAAGAACACAGTTCTTTTGCCCGGCCACTCTCTAGTTCTCTGTCCCCAGAGACACAGGGAGGAGACCTCCCCAGGGGCATCCAGACTTCACCCAACCCAAGGCCCTCTGGCTCCTCTTCCATTTTTTCTAACTCCCCTAAAAAGTCTCTTCCCAGAGTCCCCCCCACAAGCTGCCCCTTCCCCAAGCCCAAGTACCTGCACAATGGTGTCCAGATTTTGCCGGGAAGTGGACACAGAGTTGATGACTGAGGAGGGGCCCATGGTGACAACATTGATGTGGTGGGAGTGGGGGGGGGCTGGTGCTGGCACAATCACTGTGGGGTGGTGCGTAGGGGCCGGAGGGGGCAAGAGCTGCAAAACAGAAGCCCTCAGTCTCTCCAAAGGCCCTTCCAGCCCATCACCCTCCCTTACTCATGGGGATCCTGTAGTTTGGGTCTTATTTGCCCCCCCCCCAGCAAGATCTATGTGGTCCCTGGCGTGGCACTATGGCAAGGTGGTGTGGGCTCTAGTGGGGGTCTATAAGTTACTGGGTGTGGGGGGGATGCCCTTGAAGAAGATAGTGGAACCCCAGGGCAGTTTTCAGGGGGCCCCTCCCAGAGCCTCCTGCTCACCTGGGTCCGCAGGTGCTGCTGTTCCCGCTCCAACTTCTCCTGGTGCAGCAGCCGCACCTGCTCCTGCTGCTGCTGCAGCTGCACCTGCTGGGCGATCACCTTGAGCTTTTCCGGGTACATGTGGGCCTCAAGCGAGCGCACCTGCAGGTGGAGCGCACAGCAGTCAAGAGCAGGCCAAACCAGCAGCAAAGCAAGCCATTCACTAAACCCTCAAGCCCAAGCACAGAGCGTGCCCCAACCCAAAATCCTGGCCCTCCTCAGCGTGAGGACCAAAGTCCTCACCAGAGCCCCACCAGGCCTCTTCCCCCTCCAGCCCTTGGGCCTTCCCTCCACCTGGAGCACCCTTCTCCTTTCTGTGTCTGGTTAGCTGGTTTCCATGTAGAACCGGGGAGTACCCCTGGAGAAGTAGGTCAATCCCCTCCTGATGGCACAGCTCTTCTCTTTTTTTTTTTTTTTTTGGTTTTGGCGCTGGGTCTGAACCCAGAGCTTTATATGCTAAACACATGTGCTGTCACTGATCTATACCCCAGCCCTCGGTTCCAGACTATGACTGATTCCCCTCGCCCCCACGCAAAAGGTGGCTCTGGAGGGTAGGGCCCTATCTGGCTGTTCTCCATTCCTAAGACTGGCACAAAGCAGGTGCTCCCGTAAATACCTGCTAAACGGAAGGCGCCAGGGCAGAAGAGACCACAGAATCCATCCTCCGCGCCCGCGGCACCGCGCCCGGCCGGCAGAGGGCACTGCCTCACCTGCTCCTCCAGCATCATGCGCACGGAGCGCTCCTTGTCCAGCTGCTGCCGCAGCTCAATCATCTCCCGCCGCAGGTCCTCCGCCTTCTCATCCTCCCACATGTCCGGGGAGCCAATGCCCTCGTCCTTGTCCTCTGCCCGCCGCCGCTTCGGAGATGAGCCACTCAGCTCCTAGGGACCCCAAGGGGTTGGTGAGTGTGCTGACACCCCCATACCACGAACACCACCATGGAGATGGGCTCCACTGCAAACCCCATGGAGCTGCCCAACAGAGATGGACCCACCTAGGAAGCCCATTTTGCAAATCCAACAAACTGGCCAAATGCCTTCCAGAGTCCACTCCACCACACAAAACGGGAAACTGAGGCCCTGGCAGGAAGGCAAGTGTGTGAAGTAGGCAGGTTGGTGGACAAGATGGGACCTGCTGCTGCATCTGCATCCCAGGCCAGTGGTTGGGTCCAGGCCTGCCCATGCTGAGGTGAGGGAGCCAGGAGGAGGGTGCTGAGAAAAGGAGGCCCCCTCTGGGTACCTGAATGAAGCGCTTGAGCTGTGTGTTCTGCTGCAGGAGCCTGGTCTTCTCCTGCTCCAGGGAGAAGATGTACTCTGCCGTCTGCTGGAGAATAGCTGCCTGAAGGCAAGAAGGAACAAAGTCGCTGTGGTATTTACCCAAGCCCACTTCCCTTCCCAACCACAGCCTGCACTGACTCCAGGAAGCCCTCCCTACTCACCTTGCTGAGCTTCTCTCCATCTGTGTGGGGGATGAGGGTCTTGAGGGACTGGAAGCCTGCGTTGATGCTCTGCATGCGCCTCCGTTCGTTGCTGTTGGCAATCTCTCGCCGAATTCGCCGCTCCTGGTCCCGCTGGGTCTCGGGGGTCAGTGGAATGTTGGCAAGGCTGCAAGGAAGGACGGGGCAGGTTCAGGCTAGGTACAGTATGAACCCCACCCCCAGTGGACCTATCTTCAAATTCATCTCCTGAGGGCCCTGGGTGTAACCTGCATCTCTGCCCTGCTGCAAAAAGAGGCCAGATCACACAGATGCCTACACCCCAGCAGATCACCTAAGATGACAGAGAGGTGCTCCCTGGACAGCTGGCTTCAGGCAAGGGCAGCCTGCTCCAAACCTAACCCTTCCCTGGCTTCCTTCCTGGAAAGAGGTATCCTCCAGATCAGAGGCTCCCAGACATGTCTGGGTATCAGAAACACCCAGGAATCTGGGTGAGGTAGCACACACCTGTAATCCCAGCTATTCCAGAGGCTGAGGCAAGAAGATCACAAGCTTGAGGCCAGCCAAGGCAACTTAGCCAGATGCTGTCTCAAAATCAAATTTTAAAAAAGGGCTACATAGGGATGTAGCTCAATGGTAGAGTGCTCGCCAAGCCCTATGCTCGAGCAGCAACACACACACACACACACACACACACACACACACTACTACACAGGAGTTTATATACTACAGACCCCCAGATGCTGGCTCCAGTATCTAGCAAGGTCTGGGTGAGGCCCTGTAGCCTCCATGGCTGTTCCCTGTGATTGTGAGCAGGTGGACCCCAGGCCACAATCAGAGACACTGCTGGGACATGTCTGAGCTCCAGGCCGTGCATCTGGACCATCTCCTTCAGACTCAGCCTTTGCCACCCCAGGACTGAGAAAATGTTCCTCCTCCTCCCTTCCTACCCCTACAGCCGTGTCTCCAGCTACACTCCCCTAGCACCCCAGTCCAGCCCCAGCCCCGCAGACTAAGACTTCACAAAAGATAAGATGGGTACCACTCATTCCACAGAGGGGACACCAAGCCAACAATCCCTAGGACAGTTCTCCGCAGAGCCCACCTACTCCAAAAGGCAGGCCCACTCTGTGCCAGAGAAGTGAGACTCCCCGCAGGCTGTGGGCGACATTACTGCCTGGTGCAGGAGCAGTAGCCAGTGGGGTGAGAGAGAAGGCAGCCAGGAAGGGGGCGAGGCTGCGGGCACTAGAGGAGGCAAGGCAGCAGGGGAGCCTGTGGGCCTGCGCCACTGCTCCCGAGGGGTGGGCCTGTGTGTGGCCTGGAGGAGGCATGCCCCACTTCCCGGCCCTCCCCTGCAACTCCCCCACCCAGCCCCAGCCTGATGGCTTCCAGATGCTGGGCTCCTAGCAGAGGCCGCCAGCCCCACCCAAAGCCACAGCCTGGCCTCTTCCTGAGGGGCCCTCCCAGGGTGACCTGTTTCAGGTCTTAGCCAAGGAAGCTTGTGCTCCTGGGACGGGGGAATAGGGAAAGGTCTCTGTGGAGCACTCATCAAGGTCAAGGAGGAGCCTGGTCTAACTCCTTTGCTGTGACTTGGTCTCTGTCCTTATCCCCAAAAGAAAAGGAGCTACACAGCAGCCCAGGGGAGAACACAGAGGAACAGATGGAAACAGTCAAGGCCTGTTCTGCCCCACCCAACCTGCCCCTTTTGTCCCACCTCAGCTCCCTGAGGGCCTCTGGACACATCCCTCCCCTTCCTAGGCCTCAGCTTCCTCTCCCAACAGAGGGTGGCCAGCTAGGAGTTAGCTCCCCATCAGCTGCTGTTGGGTCTGGAGGCAAATCAGCCCCTTCCTGCTTCACCAAGCCAAGGCCCCCCACCCACCCACCCACATCAATGCCCAAAGGCCAGGGCTGGGACCCACCCAGAGCCCCAGGGTGCAGACCCTTCACAGGGCCTGGGAATGTCTGCACTAGGAAGGGAACCACATCCCTCCCTTTACAGATGACGTTCCCCTTCACTCAGGGTCCAGAGTCTGGAAAGCCACAGTTTTAGATCAGACAGCTGAACATCCATCTCCCTGTCTTCAGGCCAAGGTGCCTCCCTTTTTCACAATTTTCTGCCCCATAATGGGAGTGACAGGGTGTCTGCAAAAAGAAAAAGAGCAGGGCAGAAGCTGAGGCTCAAGTGCCCTCAGAGCCTGGCCCCTGGAGGGCTTAGAATAGAGGAATGAGTAAAATATGTTCTGTATTCTTCATGTAATGTGCTGGACACACTTTGCTAGCATTTCTTCATTGAATTGTCACAGTCTTCCTGAGTCAGGTGGCCTGATGGTTCCCATATAAAGAGGAAGACACAGAGTCTTGGAAAGGGACAAGTTACTGCAAGTGGTGGAGCTGGGACCCAAGCAGGTAAGGAGCTATGGGGCAGAACAGGCTCTGCATTATCCCCACTGACCAACAGGGAGCAGTCATCCATGTAGAGGGCTACGCGCTGGATATGCCCACGATCAAATAGCCAGACCAAGGCACAGCAGGCTCCTGCAGACACCCCACCAGCTGCTGGTGCCCTCTATGGACTGTTCACACCCAGCCTAGGGCAGCTCAGCAAAAGGGGTGTAGCTGCAAGAACAGTGCTTGTGTTCCTGCCCTCCCCCAATGAGGGGCCAGGCCCACAAGAAGTGACTTGCCTAAGGTCGCACCTGGCAGAGGATGAAGCAGGGTGCAGTGGAATGTATGTTCCTGTGACTCCTTGCCCAAGTCTCACCATGAAACTCAGCCAAGGGAGCTGACCCTCAGCCTCTCTATGCTACCCCCGCAGGATGCCTCCTAACTGGGGAGCTCAAAGGAACCCATGGAGCCCTGGTCCTGAAAGGCCCAACCCCAAAATTCCAGAAGGAAGAGACCCTGAGAGCCATGGCCCATGTCAGCCCCTCCTCTGCACCAGAAGCTACCAGCCCAGCTCTTCCGAATGTCCCATCCTGCCCACTCCCTCCAAACCCATCAGTCCAGCCCCGACTTGGGAACCAGCTGCTTAACTCCAAGAAAAGAGACTTCCCCTCAGCTACGGCTCTTCATGTAGACCTGAATTTGCCACCAAGACTCTCAATTATAACTCATCTGAACAGCACCACAAGTACCAGCTTAGAACTGTTTAATGGACTACTTGCTAACCTGAAGTTCTGATTCGTGGAGTGTTATCTAACCAGGAATGCTGACTGGTGGAATGATGACCAATCAGGGCTTCTAAATACTGACCAACTCAAGGTTCCTACTGATGAAAGATAGTTAACTGTCATTTCCAGGAGATATGCACTGCATAAAGTGGATCTTCCTACAACTACCTGAAAGTTCCTTACAGCTTTTTCTGTGTGTTGCAGAAGTAAACTCCATTCACAGTAACCAACCATATGGTAAAAGTCCCACTACCGGGTAGGGTTGAGGCTCAGGGGCAGAGCGCTTGCCCAGCATGTGTGAAGCACTGGGTTCGATCCTCAGCACCCACATATAAATAAATAAATAATAAAAGTACATCAACAGCTAAAAAATATATTTTAAAAAAAAGTCCCACTACCCTCCCCAACTTCTACTCCTCCAGGTGGGCAGAGAAGGGACTAGAGGCCACTGGCAGCAGGTAGCTCTGGCTTCTTCTCCCCCTCACCTCACTGTCCTCTGACAGCCAGTCTGCTGGGGCTGACCAGGGCCTGCTTAGCTTCAGGAATAAGGCAGGACACTGGGCAGCCAAAGAGTCAAGGTGTAAAATTTGGGCAGCAGGCTTGGGGGTCAAGGGCAGGGCTGCTATCCCTCCTACAACAGTATCCTTAGAAATCTGGGAAGACGGGCAGCAACCCACACAGATGTTCAGGGACAATGGTATACTCTGCACACCTAGATTCCTGACCAGTACGTGCTCCTCCTGCCCAGCCTAAGACCAAGTGTCTCCTATCCCCTCAACCTGACTGCCCAGTTTCTACCTCCAACGGGTCACTGAAAACTCTCATTTCACAATCCCCTCAACTCATACATCCCAGAGTCACTTAAACATCCACACAAAGGTGAGGAAGTCCACACAAAAAACAGGAAGCGGGGAGAACCTGCCCACCAAGGATGCCCAGGGCACTCTTACTTCTCTGTCTGCACAGGTCCCACTGCCTCTAGCCATACACCCCTCTCCAACCTACCACAGCCAGTCCGCCACCCTCCTGGGTTCCAGAACACAGGATGCCCAAGCTGCTCCAGGCAGACATTCTGCCCCCACCTCACCTCCCTCCAGCTCCTCCAGCCCATCAGAGGGAACCCTGTATTGGGTTCAAGTGTCAACTTCAGCCTAGCCACCTGCTGGCTGTGGAACCACAAGCTGTGCCACTGTGTCTCTCATACAGCCTCTGTCTCCCCCACCTGTAAAACGTGGAAATACTGCCTCATTTCACAAGGTCATGGTAAAATGTAAACGAGAGAGAGCTGGGCATGGTGGCACACGCCTGGAATACCAGCAACTGGCGAGGCTGGGGCAGAAGGATCATCGCCAAGTTCAAAGCCAGCCTCAGCAACTCAGAGAGGCCCTCAGCAATTTAGCAAGACCCTGTCTCAAAAAATAAAAAGGGCTGGGGATGTGGCTCAGTGGTTAGGCACCCAATCCCCAGTACCAAAAAAAAGAAAGAAGATAGAGAGAAGTATGGTGGCAGACACCTGTAATCCCAGCAACTCAGGAGGCTGAGGCAGAAGAATTGCAGGTAACTTAGCAAGACCTTTCTCAAGAGATCAGGGTGCTGATCAGTGGTAGACCCCTGGGTTCAATCCCCAGAATGAATGAATAAATAAATAAATGAGAGAGAACATAATAGGAGGATAACAGGATTCCCTGTTTCCCAGGGTTTGCACCCAGGTGTCCAGAACACCCTGTGGCTCTCTCAGGGGCCGAAAGGACCCTTTAGCACCAGTGGTCAGGTCTTATTCACTGCTGTATCCTCAGTTCCAGCATCTAGCTGGTGTTTCTAAATATAGGATCAGGGACTCCATAATCCAAAGCCTTTAATTTTCTCTAACTCCCCGCCCCTCCTCTTTTTTTTTTAATTAGGAGCATTTACTTTGTTTATTTATTTATTTTTACATGGTGCTGAGGATTGAAGCCAGTGCCTCACACATGCTAGGCAAGTGCTCTGCCACCAAGCCACAACCCCAGCCTTCTAACTCCCTTTTTACCAGCACTTTTATAAAGAGCTTACAAAGATAAGGCCACCTGCTCTTCAGAGTCTGAATGACACTTTAACAGCTTCCAGACACTTTCTCAGAGGTGTTCCCTTTTTCCAAGGCTAAGGACCATTAGACAACAGGTCCAAAACCTCCAGGCAGCACTGTACCCTACAACCCTCTCTCTCCCCGTTTGGCCTGGGAGACAGAGGAGAGGGGCAGGGAAGGCTCAGCTAGACAGAAATGAAGTGAAGTCCTCCAGCCTGAGACAACCCAGAGAATCAAATTCACCCAGCCAGAAGGTCAGTATTCCCATGTCACCCTGTGGCCCCAGGTGAAAATGAACAAACCTTAGAGGCCTTGACTCTTGGCCCAGTGCATAGCTGGTAACTGCCTAGAAGAGGGTCAGGCTGAGGACTTGTGCACCAGGAGGCAGGCCCTGCTACCTCAAGCACTGGGTCTGCCAAGGCTAATACCTCCTAGTGGTCTGCTGGCCTCCTTCAAAGGGAGACTTGGGACAGAGATGGAGTGAAGCCAGAATCTTAATAGGCCCCAGAAATCTCAACCAAAGCCCAAGCATGGCAGTCAGAGGGTCTCACTGCCCAAGACTGCACAGGTCAGAGGCCAAAGGAGTCCTCTCAATAGTTTGGAATTCAATCTCACCTCCACTGCCCATCCCAGCTACCAATAGCAAGTGGAAGGGCAGGCCTCTGGGATCGGTGTTGCAGACCCACCTCCACCACTTGGTCTAGCCAGCCTCCATGTTCTCATCTTTACAAAGGAATCAGAAGACAAGGAGTCTCAGAGGAAGACTATGACAACTCAATGAGAAAACCCTAGTAAAGCGACTTATTACTGCTGGACCTTTTCTTACTGCCAGCTACCAGACCCATTAACTGGTATTGACTGTGAACTTGAGAAAGATGGGAGGCCTGAGGCGGGATGTGTGCCTGTGCAGTGGAGTCCACCGGCCTGGGATACACCATGTGGGCTCCTCCTCCCTAACACCCCGCCCCGCCTGCCCGGGGCGGCAGAGCACGTGGCTCCAGCTTTGGGGAGCCATTTCGCTTCTGGAGCAGCACGGCAAGAAAAAGACTGCAGGTCCCAAACTTGTGCGAGCTGGAGAAACTCCCCATCTCTGCGCGCACCCCTGGCTGGCCACTCGGGGTCCACAATAAGCAGATGCCCGGGCCCTGCCATCAGAGTTACAGGCTTGTGCATTCTAACGTATCCAGGGCGATTCCACTACTAGTGGCCAGAGAATCCATCACCCTTGGTAAAGGATAGATCTGGGGCAAGCCAGAGCCAAGCTTGCAAAGCGGCTTCTATGGAAGGCTGAGGACCCTGGGCCATCCACTCGGCTGTGACCAGACGAGCGATTTCGGTTTACCGCTGAGGGAAGGATCCTGGGATGGGAAAGTTCACGTGCGGAGAGGGGCGGCCTTGCGCAGCCAAGGCCACCCTCAGGTGCCGCGTACCTAAAAGGCCTCCCCACCTGGCCTGTCTCGCCCCTACTGTAAGCAGAGGCTGAGCTTTGTGCGGGGAAAGCGTGGCCTCAGAGTGCCTACAAGTCCCACAATGCCGCAACAGCCGCGCGCGGAGAACTACAGCTCCCGCGAGGCCACGCGCGCACAGGCCCGCCTACTCCAAGAGGGCTGCAGAGTCACGTCCAGGCCTCGCTAGTAAACAGCGCCCGGGCGCGGGCGGGCAAGCGAGCGACCCAGCAGTAACCAAGATGTCCAGGGCCGCGGCGCTCCAGCCCGCCGCGCTGCCCCTCTGGGCCCGCCCATCCCCGCAGCCCTACACAAGCATGCCCCCAACCCCGAAGCAACTCCGCTCTCTGCAAACACGCACACTACCCGGCTCCCCGCCCCCCCCCGCGTCCGGATCCGCGGCAGGGCTGCATTGTAGCTGCCCTCGCCGGGGCTCCACGCGCGCCTGGGACCCCTCCAGTTCCCTTGGAGGGGGGCTCTGAGAGCACAAGGAAGCAGGGAAAGGAAGGAAGCAGCCGCGAGAAGGGGGGAGGAAGCGAGGGGGTAAAGACACCAGCACCAAGCATGGCCGGGACTGCTGCAGAACCACGTGGGTCTGTTTGCAATTTACAAACGTCGCGACTCGCCCGCCTGCAGCGGACAAAAGTGGCTGGGGCCGCCCGGGGTCCCCACGTTCTGAGAAAGGAAGGTCCCCAGGCGGCTCAAGCCCACGGCACGGGGCTGCAGCCACCCCGGTGGCTAAGAAAGAAGAGCAGGGTCGGCAGCGCGGGCCATGCGTGCGCACACGCGCGCCCGCCCGGGCGGGCTGGCCAGGGGCTGCAATGGTAGGAAGGGGTGGGGGTAGGAGGAGTACACACCTACAGAGTCCTCCTATCACTTCTTTCTCTGTTTTCCTGAAATGTTGCAAAGAGGGCACCTTCTGAGTGGGCACCATGAAATACTCCATAGCGATCGGCCCCCCTCCTCTGCACGAGCTGGGTCCCGCGGTCCGCCGGAGAATGCAAGATGGAAATCCGAATCAAAGGGCAGCGCCGGACGGAGGTGCAGAATCGGCCGGTCCCAGATGCTGGCGGCGGCGGCGGCAGCGAGGGGAGGGAGGCGGGCGGGAGGGGCGGGAGGGAGGTCTCTCCGGCCTGCCTCCCCGGGCGTGTGTATGTGTGTGTGTGTGTTTGCAGCTGATCAGATGTCTGTTTCAAGGCGGGAAACAGCTGGTGAAAACTCAGCACTCCCCCGGCCTCCTTCCGCGGAGTAAGGAATTGCATGTAAACAAAGGACTATTTGCAGAGTCCCCCGGGCGGCGCAAGGCCGAGGCGAGAGGGGCATGGGCCCCGGGGGGCCGCCTGCAACCAGTGTCTGCAGACCTCCCCGAAGGTGCAGGGGGCCCAGGGCTGCGGACCGGCTGGGGAAACGCGGCGTGAATTGAGCGAGCTGCGGCCCAGCTACATGCGCCACTATGGGTGATGAGGTCCATCAGCTGACAGGTTGGCAAGCATTGCAAAAAAAAAAAAAAAAGGCCAGCCTCTGTGAGGGAGCCCAGTCTTTGCCGCTCGGGGTCCGCTGGGGACTGCCCAATGCAGGGTCTATGCTCACCAGGGCCCTGAGTCGGGGATGGGGGACGCGATTGGGTTCCGCTTGCAGCGGCAGCGGGAAGGCGGCCTGGGATGCGTGCTTGGGCTTTCGCTTTTTCACGATTGCAACTACACGGAGTGGAGCCACTCTGGCGCGCTCCCTCCGAGCCGACCCAGGGCCCCCTGGAAACTTGCGTCACAGCCACCTCTTC